CCATACTTTTCCATTTTGCTTTTCAATATCTCTCCGGCTGTCTCTGACTTACTCTAAAATAAACTTGAGACTGAGAAGTCAATTTAAGGTGAAAATATGATTTAAAAAAAAAAAAAACTAACTATAAAAGCCTTGCCAGACAAGTAAATCTTGATTGTAATTCTTAAGGCTTGCTCTAGTAAACGTTCCAAAATAAACGCAAGTTTAAGATTTGTGTTTGCTCCTATTTTGTTGGCCAGGATCATTTTCCAAAATCTTAAACGGACATTGACATAAATGTTTATACAACTGTTCTTGATAAGTCAATGTGCAAACTGGGGTACGGAATATATTAGAAAGTGTGAACATGTTAGAATGTATTTGTTTTTATGATTAAGTATCTATTTAATCATAAAAACAAATTCTTGCACTTACAGATTTACTCATCCTTCATTTGTTTTCTGATACTGTTCTTTAGTCATTATTGATATTTCTGTGTCTTATCTCCAATTGTTTCTACCAACTTTTTAAAGATTCATGCAAAGTCAATTTATGTTCGATTAGAACCAACTTTCTTGCAACACTCTGGTGGGAACTCGCCTGAGAACCCCAAAACTGCCTCGGGAAGAAACACTGCCAGATGGTGGCAGCATTCACAGGAGTGTGATCACATTTCCTCTGTTATCTTTAGGTTGAATTTCAAAACAACTCTAGACAACAGACTCAGAGGCAAGCCTAGAAACAGAACGTGAACCACTGCAGAAAAGTGGAAGGTTTCCGAACAGAATCCAGTTCCACGAAACACCAGAGCATCCGGTCAAAAGCAGGGTAGCCTGTGTTCTCCTATTTACCTCCCCTGAGCAGTTTACAACAACAGGGCGAGAGCTCGCTTCTAGAATAAACATTGGGATCAATGATCTGATCTTTCAGGCTGATCTTTCCCCCTTTGTAACACTGGTGCTCTGTGCAAGGACACTCCCAACGATCGATCGTCACTGTTCATCCCCCCCACGTCGCCCAAAAATATAGCTGTGCCATTTTAGAGACATTTTTTATGTCATCTGCTCATGACATACAGATTGAAAAGCAGACAATTTTGTTCTGCTCTGACAGAAAAAAAAAAAAATCATTTTAACCCAGCAGCTATAATACTAACAGCAAGCAATACACAGGGCATCAATTGAGTCATGCATAATATATTACAAGTTTCCTCCGCTATCCAAAAGTAGAACGTCTCATGAAACCTTTCGTAAACCGAAATGGCGTAAAACGAAGAAGCCATTATCATTAATTTATATAGGACTTTTTTTTGTGCATTCCCAAACCCAAAAAATAACCTACCAAACCATAGCGAAGAACACAGAAATCTAAAATAACAGTAACGTATAGTAAAAGCAGAAATGATACGATAACAGGAGCTTGAGCAGGCCACTCTCGCTGCTCAGGGTACCTGCTGCCTCTTTATAGCCGCTTGCTGTAAAGGAAACATTGAACGCTATTTCTGCTTTTCCCCTTTTTTTCCGTAAAAGCGAAAATCCTCTTCAGATTTCCTTCGGTTAGCGAAAACAGGTACTAATGTAGGTCTTTCGTAAAAGTGAAGCATCGAAAAGCGAACTTTCGAAAAGCGGGGGATACCTGTATACTACGGGGGACAAACATTCCAAGGGAGGGAGGTGCCCCAAGAAAGAACCCTTGTGCTGGCTTTTTTTTTTTAATGATTTAATAATGCTATACAGTCATTCATGTGTAATTTTCATGTTAATTATGGAAAGTCTTGGGAAAAACTTGTTTTTTTAAATTTAGAAATACGTTTTCAAAATACAAACACAGCAAAATCCAGGGTTGCACTAATAAGAATTTAAAGTTTCCAACTGCAGCCACTTTCTGAATTGGGTGTTTACATTCCTTCAACATAATTATATTTAAAATAATTTTACTACGAAAATGTTTTGAATATTGGGTTAGCTGCATCTGTACCTACTACATAATGAGTATTTTTCTAAGCAATGTGAATTCAGTTCATACATTTTTCCAGAAGAATTCTTATTTAAAAAGTTAGGGTAGTTTGCTCTACTATATACGTACATGAGGGAATTGTTTACAACCCTCTCCCCATGAACACTTAGCTAAGAGATTATTTAAGTATATATTTAAATACACACACACACTTTTTCTAAGCAGACTAAATACTAAAGTAGAAAGCTTTTACAATTTCCAAGGTACTGATACAATCTATTAACAACTCCTGATTCTGTAAACATTTGCAATACCACAGATAGCTAGTAAATGATCCAAACAGCAGTGACATTCTCTCATGTAAATAATTCTGTTGCACATACGCAGAGTTAGCACGCTACAAAATTCCTGTAAAATTTCAGTTGAAACATTAGCAAATAGATTTGTAAAGGAAAACTTGCTGCTGAAGTGCACTGAAGTCCCCTTATGAATTCTAGATGAGAAGGTCTCTCTGCGCACAGTTCATTCAGGAGAGAAATAAGACATTTCTTAAATGAGCTACTCAACTACACTATGTAATAAAGTGAAACGGGATGAAATGTTGCCACTCTTTTGAAAGACTAAGCACATCATTTGCTATAAACTTCTGATGGAAGTTAAAATCTATACCTCCAAAAATACATTTTAAATTAAAGCTATTCTAACTGGTTATATAGTATTCCATTTAAACACCTGCTTGGTCAGTTTTTAGATCTAGTTCATCTTGGCACAAAATACTGTCAATTAAAAAGAAAAGAACAACTCACAAGCACTAAAGTTCTCTACCTTCTTCCTTCTCCTATACAGGCTTGCCTTACCCATACTACGTGAAACAATTTAACATTTTTTGTATTATAGATTCATGACATTTTTAACGTCTGTATTTTTATGAAATTGACTGTTATGAAAGGTAATTAAATTATTTTAGAAAGGATTTTTTCTTTTAATAAAAGAATCATTGCTACGTAAGATTCTATGCAAAAAAATCGATTTGCTAAAAAATATGGCCATTTTCTTATCCGTAAGAAAGGAAAGAAAATTGCCAACGAAAGGTCTCGGACCATGAGAAAAAATTTCAACCAAGCTGTTTGCTGGCAAGAGGCCACACAAGCAACGCCTGGTCCTGCAATAGAGAGCATACTGGCAGATGTTGTTAGCTGACTTTTGCTGCAAAACTATGGGAGAACAGTTGGAAAATCACAAGGTGTAGAACAAGCTTTAAATCAATAAATAGCTTATTTGGCAATAGAAAGGAGGAAAGAAACAGTTCCTTGGTTGAAGAAGAAGACTGGGATACTTCTAATTACAGAGCTTCTTAGTATTGTTTTCATGGACTGACTTCTTAATGAGAATTGAAAGTGTACCTCCCACGTTTGTATTTAGAAGTCCTAGGACTTCAGAATTACAATGAGTTTTCGGTTCTGCTGTAGGAGATTTGCAGTCTTTACTGTATGAGGATACCCTACAGATAGAAGTGATGATTCTTCACTCTTTCCTGTTTTGCCCTTAACTTAGTAACTGAGACAGTAAGTAAATGGAGAAACCATTAATGGCCAAGCTTTCTGCTTGTCAGAGCTTCTGACACATTCACTTAAAAATACAGGTACTTAACATTAGAGTAGCTGTAAGAAAACACTACAGAAAATCTAAATGACACTTGTTAACAAGCAGTACGTGCAGCAAGTAAATATTCAATAAATACATGAAAATTTAATTTTGGATTAAAAGTCAAAATCTCAAAAAAAAAAAAAAAAAAAGAGAGAGAGATTGGCAAAAGACAGTTTCTCAGAGGAAATTATCACACGATGGTGGAGAAGGTTGCTCCCATCACCCTTGTTTGCTATTTGGGGTTAAGGAACCTATACAGACAGAACGCATTTATATATTTCGCAAGTGGGGTGGCAATTATTACAAAGTTAATAAAATTGGGTCAAATTTTCCTCAAGTGCCCTTCATCTTCCCTCTCTGATTAGACATATCGCTAGGCAACATTTGGTGACATAAAATGGCAACAAGACTTAAAGACACTAGAAAACCAAAGCACAATGTCCATAAAGGTGGTGACTCCAAAACACACACACCCCCCACACATTTAAAATGGCATTCCTTGTGGTACTATTTTTTAAAGGTATGGATTAAAATGAAGGATCATTTTTAAATGTACTTCTTCGAAGCAATTTTTATTACGACATTTTGCCGCACTGATTATTCTTCCCAAAATTATGCTGTTCATCAACAATCCTAACACGCTAAAAACATAAGCACATTTGAAGGCACATTTGTTACAAGTATTTTAAAATACATATCCACCCAGTGCTTTAAGTCGATTCCGACTCATAGCGACCCTTTTATCAGCCTTCCAAACATTACAATTTAAATTTTTAAAGATTTAATTACATTTGAAAACAAGAGTTTTATAAATTACAGAGGACATTCAAAGGCAAATTTCCAGGATTTAATAAAAAATAACCAAGATTAGAGTAAGATAAACTCTTGTTTCAAAGTATTTCAATCAGGCACACAAATTAAAAAAAGGGGGTGGGGCAAGGTTTTGTTCTGTGCAGCCTCAGTTTCCCGAAGACCCAGACTCTGCCTCATCTCAACTCAGGGAATTCCCACCCTCATCAGTAACCGTCACTTTGTCATTTAGGAGATGGAAGGGTATTGATACTTGTTTGTAACCGGCTTTGAAAGTCACAAAAGCCACCAGGCATAAAAATTGTATGCATTTCTACAAGGGTATCTTCAACTCTGCAGTCCCTGGAACGATAATGCAGTTACAGGGAGGGCTACGCCCACCTCTCCGCGATCTGTATGCGGGTACACAGGGAGTTTCTGCGGGAAGAAGACGCCCAGCCACGGATACCCGGGTTCCTGGGGGTTGTTTTCTTGCTAGTGCCCGTCCTCTTCCCTGCACTATGGAAACTGCATTTTTCTCTGCCTGCTTGTCCTCGTTCTCTTTCTCCTATTACATCCAAAACAGACGATTTCAACTTCCCGAGAACCTGCCAAGGGAATAGGTGCTGATGACGCCCCAGAAAGAGCCGCGAAGACGGAGTGTCCAGGAGAGCGCTCCCGCCCCGCGAAAGGCGCCCCCGCGAGCCGGTGGGAAAGCGGGAGAGGGCGGACTAGGCTCCTGGCGAGCCATGCAGCGCAGCAAAGCCCGCGCGGGCCCAGGCTTTCCGGGGAGCTCACGTTCATCCGATCCCCGCCCGCGGCCCTCCCCGCACCCGGCCCCCGGCTTTCCTTCCACTAAAGGGCGCGGGGCTGCCGCGGATCCTGCGCTCGCCGGGCAGCTAATCTGGATGCTCGTAAACAAGCGCCAGCGGGCTCTGCGCACCGCCACCCCCGTGCTGCCGAGCACCCGCGAGAGA